AAACATTCAGTGTTATTAAGATGGACAGGTATTACATTTAACTTCAGTTCATGCACCAAACTGTCTAAAGCAAAATGGGATTGAGCCTCTCCTAGAGACGGTTATCTGAAATAAATAGTCTCTGGTTGTAAAACTAACCAGCTGGATCAACTGATTTACTCTGCTAGTGTTGGTGTGAGGATGTTCAGTGGCAGTGCACAAACTGTTCTCTGTTTTTTAACTGTTCAGTTTTTTGGTGCAATCTTCTGTCTAATCACCAGATAATAGTTATGAAAGAGCTGTTCAGTGTTGGGAAGTTAACTAACAGAAGCGAGAAGAAGATCTAGTTAGGATTGCGATGCGCCAATCTAACAAACAGTAATTTCCAGTGGGACATGAAGCTAGAGATGGGCTGACGTCCAATCCGATCACAATGAAACAGAATGAGATTGAATTCAGAGGGAAATGGGAGAAAGGGCGAGATAGAGAGAGACAATGGCAAGGGAAGTGCGTCCTCGGTCTGAGCAGTTCATTTGATTTCTGAAACACATTAGAAGATATGGACGGCTGCCAATGCTTCTGTTTTAACACAACTAACAACAACAAGAATTGCAATTTGTGTCCGTTCATGCTGCACTGATATATTCCCGCTAATGGTTTTTAATGTGGTTGAAGTGCACACTCCCTGATGCTCACCTGCAGTCATGCGTAGCTGAGAAGTTCAATGGAGAGCATTAGCGTTATAAAAGGAATATAATTAAATATGTGTTTAAGCGTGTGTTTACATGCTCTATCGCTGACCATTCATGTGCACTTTTGTAGAGCGCGGTATTATTTTGTGCATTTGTCAAATGAGCGGGAAGCACTTTTAGGCTATTGAGCAGATGTGACAGTCATTTATTGTGCTGGTTATTAGCATTATGCCACCAGCGGCTTTAGATAGGTTGAAAACTGGGTTTGTGCTTGGAGAAAAGACAGAATAATCTCCCCATGGAGCTTTTGAAAAGATGAATCCGTGAGACGGCTTCAATCAATGATTAATTTCATCCATCAAAAAGAGGCAATTTCTATGCAAACAGCATGATTTGCGACTCTAATTATCAGTAGTAATTTTTTATTAGGTTTTGTCTTGCGATTGAAGTGTGTGTGTGTATGTGTGTATGTAGGGATTCACATTGTATGTTCCTTTGTTCATAATGCACTCATGAAAAGCCTTAGTGCAGTGATTAACAAAACCTTCAGTGATCCAGCAACAGAAACCTTTTGAATGTTGGGATATTTGGATTGCTTTCCCAATACTGAGGGCTGAGGTTATCTGAATATCTTGACCAGGTGAAATAGTGTTGCATAAAGAGGTTTATCTTCAGGAGGCGATTAATCACCGCTGAACATGAATGACTATGATCGTTTTTGCAGGGCGAGCAACTGAATGGCTGGAGACCATTAAATGCGCTGAGCTGATGTGTGTGTATGTGTGTGAGGGTATAATTATACAGCTCAGCTGGGGTAAGGAATCATTGAGTGATTGAATGTTTGCAGTGGAAGGTACTTATCTAAATTTCACTTTCAAAACTATCCATTTTTTATTTTGCCTGAAGCTTCCCATCTGCCAATTATTCAAGCTGATAGGACTCATAGTTGCCATTTTTATAATTCAGGTCACACTATAAATTCATATTTTAAATGGTATTACTGAATGTCAGTTAACTGAGACTTAATTAGTGTAAATTGTTATTAATCAAATGCTGGTAACACTTTTTTTACAGTAGGGTTAAATTTGTTATCATTAGTTAATGCATTAGATATTAGGAAACTAACAAAAAAAAAAACGACTTTTTTGGGACTTTTTTCTTGGAATTATGAGTTTATGTCTCGTACTGAGTAAAAAACAAGGTAATTGCGCACAATTCTGACTTTCTCACAACTGAAAGTTTATATCTCAATTCAGAATTTTCTTCTCATAATTGTGAGTATATATCTTGCAATTCTGAGTTTGTCTTGTAATTTTGAAAAAAAGTAAATAAAAAAATATGCTAATTAACATTAATATACATAAAAATTAACATTAACATAGATTAATAAATAAAAGTATTATTCATTGTTAGTTCATGATAATGACTAATATTAAAGGGGTCATATGATGTTGCTAAAAATAACATTATTTTGTGTATTTGGTGTAATGAAATGTGTTGAAAAAAAGTGAAAGTGAAAGTGAAAGTGTTTATGCGGTTTAAGGTTCAAAAAACACATTATTTTCCACATACTGTACATTATTGTTTCTCCTCTATGCCCCGCCTTTCTGAAACGCGTCTATTTTTACAAAGCTCATCGGTCTGAAAAGCAAGGTGTGCTGTGATTGGCCAGCTATCCAGTGCGTTATGATTGGCCGAATACATCAAGCGTGTGACGGAAATGTTACGCCCCTTACCATACTGTGATGCCCTGTCCGGCCGGAGCGATGATTCAAAAACATGAAAACCCATAATAAACGAGGCATTCGTTGCATCCAGTGGGGACATAATTATGGATTATAATGACTTATACTGTCTTTTTACGCGTTGCGTTGCATCGCGCCGCGTAAACATAAAACCATGTCTGCATTTGTGATTGGAGAAATGACAAACAACAAGCCTTACTCTACACTGCCCAAAAATATATATAAATTTATATAAAATATTTATATTATATAAATATAAAAAATATAAAAACTCTTTAAGTATAATAAACTCACAGTCTGTGAGTCAGAACAGCCGGCATTGTAGTCTACTCTACCAGGATCAGGAAAC